CTTTCGCCTCTACGGCTCAAAACTTAGCTGAAATCATGCTTTCGCCTCTACGGCTTTGATAAGCTAGAATTACGACGAGCCGTCTTACGTACATTACTTCTATGTAGTACACTTACATAAACTTGTAGGCTAAACTGCTTAACTTAGTTTTAGCCTATCAAAGCTATAGGAGTAGAATGATACATAGTACAGAGTACAAAGTATGATAAGTAGTAAGCAGGAAAGTTTACAGGGATATTTATTGGAAGTTATCTCAGAAAGGTAAGGCTAGAGAGCTTCTAGACTATACTATCAGTCTATTATTAGGTAGCATACTATATAACCCGCCTGACTCCACATGTTGATGAACACCAGCATATCACTATTTTACTTAGTAACGACATACAAGCAACATGAAGCTCCTAACCCTCCTTTATACTGCCACATCTCTGCTAGGCATTGCATCTGCAGATATTGAGAAGCGCTGTACTATCGGCCTTGATATTGAGTGTTGGTATCAGGGTTTCTATTCAAACGGCGATCAGGTCCGATGCGCAGTTCCTGGACAATATGCGATCGCCTACGCATATGGAGAATGTCCTAATACCTACGACGGCAAGAGCTTTGCTTATTCCACCTGTATTACGGCTGGCAAGTATAATGGACGCCATAAGTGCAGGTACGTTCCGAAAGGTTAAAATAGGATTTATACTCTTTTCTAATAAATTAAAAGCGACTCCCCAGCCCCAGATGGCAATGATCCAGACGACAAAAGCTTTGGAAATTATGGTGGAAATTAGATTGTACGGGCTATATAGTCAGAGCTAGACTCTGAGGTTATGAAAGAGCGCCGAATAGAGTCGTGGGGCTATATATGTATAATTGAAGAGAATATATAGCTTATATAAAGTTTTTATCTGATTCAACATCAGATATGTCTGATTCAACATCAGATAACTACTTACAGAATGAGACTTTACTATCGTCTAGAAAGATAGCATTTATCTTGCCTCTTAGAACGTGATATCACGTGACTTCGATATGAGACCTAAGGGAGAGCCCTTGGGCTAGTAAGGCCAAGGACCTGTTAAGCGTATAGATCCTGAGTAGAAGCAATACAAGACTAATCAAGACTTATGGAGTTCGGCAAACCTGTTCTTCGAAGCCTAAGGGTCAGTTTTGCCATACGTCGACAAATCGGTACTCGGCCATGATGGAAACCGGTCCATCTTGGAATTGCTTCGTAACAACTCACACGCTAATGCAGCATTGCTGAACATCATCTGTGCTCACGCGGCGCTTTGCAGGTCATGTCCAGACGCCGAGATATTTTACCGCCGTACGCTTGCACTTCTTGATGGATCGTCTCTTCGCGGCTCCAGTTTGGAATTCGGTATGTGAGGATATCTGAGCAAAAATACCCCACTGCATACTGTTGATTGATTTGATACGCATAGTACAAGCTGTTCTACTACTCTGCAGTTTTCAACAGAATACGCAGCGCTCCATTGCAAGCTGGACATATCACGCAATCGCAGTCAAGGCAGCTTTTCAATGGGCCTGCATGCATATGACCTATATAATGGAAAGGATGCTCGTTATTGTGAGATCCTGAGAAGAGTCTGGCTCGGTGTAGTCATACAGGATAGCGGCTTGAGTATGGCGTTGGGGCGGCCTCGTCTGATCCCTCCATCCCACACAAGCCGATTACACGAAGAGAAGAGCTTATTGGGTCTCACTGACAGCAAAGTTTTCTTCTATCAGCTTGTGTGAGTGGCCTAGGAGTGTGACAGATGAAGCTGACTTCCACCCAGGGAATTAACTAAAGTGAGAGTCTCAATCATAGAAGCGACTGAAGAGCGCCATTCTTGTTCTTCACAGCCTTGTCGCATTCAAGAGATTCTTTCTCAAAGATTACAGCACGTATGCAGGCTTGAACAGTGGAAAAGGAATCTTCCATTGGCGACTGCATTTACTAGCTGTGCAGAAGTAGCGATGTGGTTACCACCATCGTACAGTAGTAACCGCTTCTGCATTCTGCTAACTATCCATTATTATGTCACCGTTTTGCTCATCAATCCACCAGTACTTGATTCGATCACGATGAGTGAGCTTGGACAGGACGAATTCCATTCATGTACCTGTGAGATTTCAATAGCTATGGAAAATCACTTTGCTGCAGCGAAAGAACTCGACAATATCGTATCCTGCATAGCCAAGGCATGTCCAGAGTTTTTTTACAATAATGCAATTTGGTGGACCTGCAACTACTATAGTGAGTTTTTGCCTCTAAGTTACAGATCTTGCAATGCGCGATTGACACTGGACAGTCTTCACTGCCGCCTTACATCTATTTGGAATACTTCTGGCGAGTTACCAAGCCGACTCCATGGTGCGAGACAGATTGCCCAGCTCGTTGGAGGTTCGGAAAGCCCTAGTATCAGGCTTGCAAACACTAGAAAGTATTGATAGGGGCAGCCTGATGAGCCGGAAAGGCCGTCAGTGTCTGCAAAGACTTTTAGATATGCTCGAGACAGCTGGTAAGCTTCACACTTAACAGTTAAGGCGACTCAATTGCTGACCCACTTTTCGATGAAGTGCCACATGCGGCATCTGTGCCTTATGACACGTTACCTAATGATTCTACACTTACAGGCGCATTGGATGATATCTTTTCACAGTTTGTCGCTGAACCCGGATGCGATTTATTCTTCAGTCCAGCCAGCTAGGTTTTTTGGATTTAGATATAGAAATTCCGAACTTCGGTTCTAGCAACCAGCAGCCCTAGCAAATGATGCTACGCAAATTTGACTACTAGTACATTCCAATGCTAGTGATATTTGCGCCAGTGTTTCATAATAGTTGTTCAGTGGTATAGTAGGTCAGTGCACCTATCAAGAAGAGAGTAACAGCCTTCATAACTACTCATCCATTTAACAGGCTAATAATTACTAATCTTGTAACGCAAGGTGGTTGGTAAAACCGTATATTTTACGTCAACTAGAATAAAAGTATATGATAAAATCCATCTATCCGTATTTCTTTATTACTTCTAGTTCTATCCTCTATAGCCTTCTATCTTGATAGAGAGTTTACAAGGACCTTGGTCCTCCCTTATATAGTAGCCTCCTAGAGGCTATACCTTAGCGAGATACAAAGACACATAATCTCGCCCTACGACAACTATCATTTCTGTCAAAATCCTCAGCGGTTTATTAACTAACTCCTCTTTATACCTAAGGAAGTGGCCCTTTTAGATATTGTAACGGCGCAAGCAAGACTGCTCGGATCAATGTCGGCAGTAGTGTCACTTAGAGGCATATGGGAATGCGTGGGACATTCAATGAGGCTTGATTCGAATAGCCACCTATATGCCTTGCACAAAAGGATATCCAAAGTCTACAGAACTAGCTATAGAGAGTGTCTCCATATATGCCTATCCTGGTCGGATCTGAGTCGGATCCGACTATAAGAACGAATGACTGCTGAGGGGAGCGGTGGGTACTTCCTCCGATCCAGCTCCGGGATAGTTCTGATACTTTGCAGTGTTGTAACAGCGTTGCAGACATTACTTATAACACTTACTGTAGGATCTTCTATACGTATAAGGTTTCGCGATTAAGCAATACAAGGTAAACATGTGATTTGATTATGTGTTTTATTCACAAGCGCAGCCTTCTAGATACATCAGCTATGTTAGCTAGAGTAGTTCTTACTGTATAAGAATATGCAAGGTCCAAGTAAAATATTCGTTACTTCAACTAATAGTGAATAATATCAATATCTATGTATAACAGCAGGTTGAAGGATACTATATTCTAAAGACAGCATAAACTCTTGAAGATGGCAATCTGAAATTAGGGCTTTCTCTTGTTCGAATCTGGTTCCTAAAAGACACTGAGCGGGCCAAGGGATTATTCTTGGCAAAGAAGATTGCGCAAAAGGTTGCAATAAACAAAGCGAAGCCAGCAGGTAAAATTTCGGTTGTTACATGGCTACCTGTATAGAAACGCCAAAAGTCGCAGTATAATTGGTCTAACCCGAGTGATGCTATACTCTCGCTACTAATAACCCTCAAAATTAGCACACATCTTTAAGAGATGATGATGTGAAACCCGATAGGGCACTCTCCGTTGCCCCCGTTATCCTGAGCAAACTTCAAGGTCGTGTCGTCACTGCAAATGCTTCCACCAACGCTAGCAAAAGCCTGACCCTCTTTGTAGTCGCATGGGCCACCACCAAGACGGTAAGCATTGCCGAGTTTGATCTGAGGAGCATCGTTGAACGGAGGAGCTAGTACCGGCTGGTTGTTGAAGGTAGTTTGGCCAGGGACAGGGAAAGAAACACCGGTGTTGCCTTGGAAGATGATATTACCGGGTCCTTTCTCCGATTGCTTGGAGCCGCATCCGCCGAGCATGAGAACAAGGCTGCATGTGTTGTTCTTGGCCCAGGCGGGAATGTCAAACTTGGTCAGAGTGCACTTGTCACCAGGGGTGACCTCGGCCTTTTGTCCGGCCGGAACGGCTTTGTTGGGGTTTTTCTTGGAGACTATTTGGAGGAAGGTCGGGCTAAGTGCCTTAGGAGGAAGTTGGCCAGTGGGAGCGATGGGCTGGATAGCAGGGCAAGCTTTGTTCCCACGAAGAATCAAGGAAGAATCTGTGGGAGCGGCTACTGCAAGAGAGAGGAGCGCAGTCAAGATAGCGAATGACTTCATTTTGAGTACAGTGAACCGAGAGCTGTCCAGATGGAAAGGTATATTAAATAAAAAAAGGAGGGTGAGTGTGCTGTATAATGATCGTTAAAGTTGATCTCGCCGTGAATTTATATTGGATTCATGGAAGGTGGTGTTCCTAATTAAGACATGGATGATGTTCAGCTCCGCGCCACTGGGCTTATGGTGGCCCTGTATTTCCACAACGAATACGAAGAGCTGGCCCTGTAACTGTCAAGAGTGCCACACCCAACTGTGCGCACTAGCCGTTTGAGTAAATTAATTATCGGATCTCCTAGGGTACACAATACATCGCCAATTATAGCGATGCGGGAGCGTTTATTGAATTCAAATCTGGCTGGGTATAAAGGTGATGAAGGCTAAAATTGACTCTTTCGAACTTGGAGACTCAGGGGATTTTGAAGCTACTGTTACAGATTCGAACCCTCTACTGACGATCAAAATGTTAGCCTTGCTAACGCACCGTCGGTAGCGCAAAGCATGTGGTTAGTTTACTGTATTTGCACGAGGCGCTCGCAAGGTACATTTTGCCGTGCATGTGGCTTTCAAATATTGATTTGTTTTTACTCAGCTTATACCCCAATCCTTCGTGCTCACAGACTAGTTGGAAAGGTACCCCCTTACGTGGTAAGGCCTGGTATTGTTATGCGCCTGACGAACGATGTTGTTGGCAGCAAACTCACTAGCATCCATCTTGGGCATAGCTTAGGCACACTTGGCGTTCCCCCTCTTCCGAAGCCGAAGCTAAGCTCACGCCTTGTGGGACCCGTCTGACATGCAACACGAACGTGGCACGCCAGGCCCCCTAATCAATATGAATTATCGCTAGCCATAACAGATAAGTTAGCCAAGGGAGATTGTCCCAGCCCATCTACCTTCGCTTCGACGTTGTGAATCTGGTCATGGTTACATGATGAGTGTACTTCACATGCGAATGCAAACTATTTTTCTTGCTAATCTCACATTCTATCCAGCCTCTTGTGTGACATTTAAATACCAAACATGGTTTGGAGCTGACGGCCAGCGATGCCCACCTCAAGACTCTTTGATTAACGAGTGGATGTTCGAAGCCGTCTGTGTTGGCAACACAGTGGTGTAGCGAGGTCCCAAGTCTAACTCTTCCCAGATTACTCAATCTCGCTAGATAGCCGAGGGCGTAAATAGTCTAAGAGTTGTTGCTACACAGTAGCGCTGCAATGGGCATCTGCAAGAGCGGAGGGGAAAGGATGACCTCAATCAGCATTGGCACACTGGACGTTTGTCTGAGGTGGCTAAGGGACTTGCAGAACCATGGCAGGCAAACTGAATAATCAGAGCGCACTCTGAACTCGGCGTTCTCAACGTCCCATGGTCATCGAGCTTGATACCGACACCAGCCTCATTGTCCTTGCCGCCGTCACTGTTGTTCCAATCACTACCGCCGCCAGCCGACGTGAGCTCTGGTGCATCTGAGTTGGCCGTCTTCATCGCAAGAGTGAGGACGGTTAGCCATGGAAATGTGCAACGCAGTCATGACCTGGTCACCTACAGAGCGGTCCATCTAGACGTGCTCCTGTGCCTCGACGTGTCCCTTGGCCATCTAGTGTAGTCTCGCCTTCGGGGGCGCCGCGGTCGATGTTCCGCATAATATTGTGGCGGTAGATGGTGCCGGGCATCTAGCGACGGCGTCGGTTACGTATTCGACTCGAATGCATCGAGCAGGTGCTTCCACACGAGGATACTATTCTGCTTGGAGTTCTCGACAACCGTCTCAAAACAAGCCGTCACCTGGTCGGAGAGTGAAATGGCGATGGCTTACAGTTACCGCACGACGTTCTCGTCAGGTGTGATGCTCCTCCCAAGACGCGTCTTTCGCGTTGTTGGCCGTGCTTGGACGCGGAGCGGCTGGGTGTCGGCACGGACTATAATTTTTCCGCATCGTGTGTGGCGAAATCTCGGTACCAATCTACATACTAGAGGGTGCATCGGGAGTTGAATTCAGGTAGAATTACAATCCAGAGCTGCCGTGTCTGTGTGCACAAGAAATACCGCGGCAAGAATTATCCCGACGTTCAACAGAGAGCGGCAAAACTAAGTTGCATGTCCCAGTCCATGTCACGGAGTATTACGAGAAGCGGCGCAGAAGTCGTGCTGGCTAAATACCGTCTAAAGTGGCTGAAATCCCCAAGATGCTACCCTGACACTAGCCCGATCACAGGCAAGATGCATCAAAGATATCCAGATTCCGGGTTAGCTTCAGGCGGGGTTGGACTATATGTCGTGAGCCATGACGTTCCCCGAGCGTGAAGCAAGGGCGTTGAGTACGAATGCCAACACCAAGACCCATCCGAGTGGCGGGACGGCGGGATGTAAGCCGAAGACATCGGGTGGGGTAGATTGGCATCTGTATATATTCATCCTGGATGCCCCTCGCCAGGCCTCTGATAGTGCCATTGGAACTCACCATGAGGTTTACCGCTCTCATCCCGTCGCTGCTCGCCTTCTCGGCACCAGCATGGGCAAAGAACTCGACCTACTACAACCCCGTGCTCCCTGGCTGGCATTCCGACCCATCCTGTACGCCTGTGAACGGAACGTTCTTCTGCGTAACATCAACATTCATCTCCTTTCCCGGTCTGCCTATCTACGCATCAAAGGACCTCGTCAATTACAAACTCATCAGCCATGTCTGGAACCGCGAGTCCCAGCTTCCAGGCTACAGCTATGCGACCGACGCCCAGCAGCAAGGCATGTACGCTGCTACTATTCGGCACCACCAGGGCACATTCTACGTCATTTGCGAATACCTAGGCACAACCGGCAACCGTACCAATGGTGTCTTGTTCAAGACTACCGACCCATTCGACGAAGCTAGCTGGAGTGACCCCGTCCTCTTCCGCGCTCCAAAAATTGACCCTGACCTATTCTGGGACGACGACGGCAAGGTTTACGTAGCTACTCAAGAAATCCGCATCCAAGAGATCAACATCGACACCGGGGCTATGGGACCCGTCATCAACCTCTGGAACGGCACCGGCGGCGTTTGGCCCGAAGGTCCTCACATCTACAAGAAAGACGGATGGTACTACCTCCTCATCGCAGAGGGTGGCACAGCCGAGGACCACGCCGTCACCATGGCCCGCGCCAAGACCATCACTGGCCCCTATACCCCCAGCCCACACAACCCTCATCTCACCAATCGTGGCACCGATCAATATTTCCAAACTGTCGGCCACGCAGACCTCTTCCAAGACGGCAATGGGAACTGGTGGGGTACCGCCCTAGCCACGCGCTGGGGACCCCCCAATAGCTCCTACTTCCCCATGGGTCGAGAAACTGTTCTCTTTCCCGTGACATGGCCCACCGGCGAATGGCCCATCATGCAGCCCGTCCGCGGCATCATGTCCGGCTGGGAACTCCCCGCCCTGTCTCGCGACCTCCCCGGCACCGGACCGTTCAACGACGACCCCGACGTCTATGACTTTCCTGCTGGGAGCCAGATGCCGCGCAACTTGGTCTATTGGCGAGTACCGCGACCAGGCATGATCAGCGTAACGGAGAACGGGTTGCAGGTCGTGCCGAGTAAGAATAACTTGGGAAACAAATTCAACAATACGACGCCGTCAAGTAAGGCCATTAGCTTCGTGGGACGTAGGCAAACTGATAGCACCTTCAAATTCAGCGTCGATATGACCTTTAACCCGACTCAGGATGGCCAGGAAGCCGGCATCACCGCGTTCTTGACGCAGTATGCTAACGTGCAGCTTGGTGTTACTCGGCTCAACGGCTCAACCGTGTTTCGCTTTAACTCGACTGAGTCCCGGAACAAGTACACGCCTCTTCCCGAAGCATGGGAAGAAGAGCCCATCCGCCTCATGATTGACATGTGCACCCCGGATGAGTACTTATTCTCCGCAACATTGGCCGACGGTGACTCGGAGACGCTCGAGTTGGGCAAGGCGGCCACAAGTCAAGTGAGCGGGGGTACAGGGAGTTTTGTCGGTACGCTGATTGGGGTGTATGCAACGTGTAATGGGGCTGGGGATCATGTTTTGGATTGCCCGGAGAGTACACCCAAGGCCTGGTATAAGAAATGGAGGTATACCGGTGTGAAGCAGTGGGTTGATAAGGGGGTTAGTGTGGCGAGTGACGGGTTTAATCAGGGGATTTGATCGGGCAGGAATGGATGGTCAGAATAGAGCTTATACTCTTAGTGCAATTCACGACTATTTTACAGTGAATAAGATAACCAACAGATGGTCTTACATCCAGAGCCAAATTCGTCAAGATTACGTAGTAAGATCAATTCATTCCACTATAGTAAGGGGTGCGTGAAATAACTGATGTAGACAGTATTGATGTACCTACTTATTTATACCTTTTGAAAAGAGCATGTTCATTAATTTCGAAATACCAGCTTTTGTACTACTACTGCATTGCATCCTAGTAAAACGAACCATCTGAGACAAAAATTTTGACAACCAAATTTTGTAACGAGAGAGACATCGCGAGAAGAAGAGAGTAGAAATATTAGTAATCAAAGCCGCCCCAAAGAACAATCTCAAAGTCCGAAGCTGACAGATGATGTCTGCGGATACACCATTCTTCCGCGTAAAGCATTAGACGGCTCTCGGTCGATCGGTATAAATCCGAAACACCTATACCAAACTAGCTAGCTCAACCAAATGAGTTACCTTTGCTACGACATTCTGTCATCACTTTTGATACGTAAACATTAAATATAATACTGCCATAAGGACTAAACAAGAATAAAAAGTCATCCCCAAGCTCACGAAACCATCCGTCAGCAATGTTACTTCCTTTCGTGTTGTAACACCCGACCTTCCGGGCTATAGCTTCTCACCAGCTCCCAGAGCTCCTGGGCTAAATGCTACCTTGCATGCTGTAGAATTTGCAAATCTTATAGAACAGTTGGGCTATGAAAAACTTGTACTCTACAGTAATCAAGCCTAAGTTCTTGATCGGGTCGACTGTGGAGCAACTATGATTGCATACCTTGCATGTTTGCTAGTCGTGCGTTGCTAATTCTTAACAGGCACAGAACTTAGAGCCTCCATCGGTCTCACAATGGTGAGCAAGTACGAAAGCCGCAACACACACCACTTCTGCGATATGCTTTGTTTGGTACCAAACGAGAACGACCTTGCGCGCTATGCTGCGAACCAGACTACAAAAGAAGAGTCGGAATTCATCCTATCCATACAGGCCTTTTTCAATCAACACTCGGCTTATGCAAGCATCCACTCAAGCTACCCTCTTTCAATTGCGTACGCGCTCAACGACAACCCCGTCGGCTTTTTAGCCTGGATGTACCAACTTCTTCACACTTCCAGTGACATTGCTTATACAAAGGAAGACATCATCAGACAAGCCTTCTTACCTTACGTTCCTGGCTTTTACGGCAGTACCAGGAGTTACAAAGAGCTATTTGACGGCGCCATATTTGCACCCGCGAAAAGATCACCGGTGCCGACAAGCGCTCTACAGTTCAAACTTCGGGGCGACCCAATGTTTGCCTACCCAGAGATGGAGTACTTCAGCTTTACAGCAAGTGGGGCATTCATGAGTCTTGATCCATCAAGATGTGTTTTCAACGCTTGGGTCTTTTGACACCAACTTGTTTTAACAGCCCCTAACTTCGCTGAAAAGATTCCACAATACCACAGATCTAGCACGTTACAACGAAGGTGGGAGTTTCACTGCCAAGAGCGTACCACATCTTGTGGTCAAGGAGATTAGGGCGGTATTTGCCTCTTAGTCACTAAGAGTCTACGGCATTGGAAATGCTAAGCGAGTAATAAGTACTGTCTATCTTGGATGAGAGCAAAACACATTAGAATCTATCAAAGAAGACGCCCATATTTTAGAAAAGACGTATATCCGCAATATTTCCATGTTCAATTTCGATAATATGCCCGAGCAATATACATTCTAGACACCAGAGTTGTATATTACACCCCACGTAAGATTTCTGCCTCCAAAACACCCTATGAATCATGGCAGACTTAGTAAGCTCCTGGATATGACATTAATCATTATTGAATGAAATAAAAAGGTCTGGACGCTTCTATTCGATCTCATACCAAGAGAATCGACACACTTCTGAAGGATACTGCACACAATTGACAAACAGATTCTCTCTCCCATAACACGTATTGATAGTGAAATTCCTTTAGCGTACCATAACCTGGAGACGCGTCGTTTCAATATAGTTGATGCGCGAGTTGTCCCCCCCCCCTCAAACACTTCTCTCATCTCGCAGCGTCGAAACATGTTTCTTCATTACAATGCCAAGGAATCCGCAAAGTCGAGAATTCAAATCTGTCCCCCTTGCAACAAACGAAAGACTCATATTTCAGTGCCAAATAAAGGCTTCTTGATGTCTCCTTAAAGACCCACTTCACTGCGTCCAAGCTGGTGTACTGAATTATGCAAGCATAATGTCGTACGACTCGAGAACTTATTGGCACATTTTCAGTGGCAGATACCAATCCGGTGTTAACATGATGCACAGATCTCAGTTTTGTCCGACCATTGGTGCTCAGTACAAGAAGCTAGCCGTACGCGCAATTAAGCGTACTATTCAGCTCCCTTACAAATTGGCCGAATATCAAGCCACTTGTGACATGAGTTCGTTTCTAACATCTAGAACACTTCGCTACACTTTTTTCGAGACTAACCAAAACGAGGCGTTTGCTATACCGTTTTTGGCCTAGTACAAAAATCATCCGTGAATGTATTCTTGCAAGGCTAATACTATCTGCGACTATTTAAGGAAGAATATACCGCCCAAAAACGATAGAAATCTTCATCCTCACATCATATACGCAGACAAGACTCAACAATTTTCAGTGTTCTCTGAAAGCATCATGTTCCATTTCCGAAACTTATTCCTTCTTTCATTAGCGGCCTTTGTGCCCAATGTCCACACAGCCAGTCTACCTCATTTGGTTTCTACTGCCAATATTTCCCCGCGAGCTACGCTCGAAGGCAATCTTATCAATAACACCGATTTCAGCAACCCTACTATCGCACCATGGGTCTCAGAGAGGGGCTGGTTTTCAACCTGGCAACTTACTACGCAGGGTTGCTGGCCTGGGCAATGCATTCAGGTCACCGGTCTAGATTATCGTGGTTACGGACAAATCTTTTCACAAACCGTCACCGTCCAGGCGGGCAAGAGATACGCCGCCGTTATAAATACTGTGGTCGACACGCCTCTCACGCAATGCCGCGTAAGCATGCTCTGGGATGGCAAAGAGATGCTCACATATCCTTCACAAAGAGATTGGACGAGCCTCGCCAGGGACATGCCAGTAAGCACGACAACATCAGAACACACATTTGGAATACGCATGACCTGTGTCGGCGTTAGTGGGAGACCATCTTGGATTAAGATTGATAGAATTTTTCTCATTCCATCCTGGTTCAAGTAGTCAAGAGTTTGAAATGATGGATGGGAGTTGGCTGGCGAATAGACATTGAGTACCCTCTCTGTTAACCAGCGAAGGGGGATCCTTTTTGAGCTTTGCACCAAAATCTAGGGCATTAGCATTGATTGGTACTTTCGATATTGGTCTTTATTTAACACACATCACATTTTAATAATGCATAGTTATTTATCTGATTCACTCCATCATTGTTTTCCTGCGATGCATCCGAGTTGAAAACCAATGATACTGACTTGCTCGACGCACTCCAGTAGGCAACGAGACAAGGCGCCACATTCTGAGAAACCACGCTGATGCACTTCGTACACGCGCATAGCAAGAGGAGCATTGAACGAACTATGCAGGCGGTACACGTTGGGCCAGCGATGGGCCACTCTACGGATGTAGCCAAAATACCAGGAGTGGATTTTGACAGTACTCTGGAATAGAAAACCACGTTATTAGAACGGCAAAGGAGGCATAGAAAAATGTACAAACAGTATTCTGAATGCAAGGTGTCCGCCTAGCGACAGCCCAACCGCTTTTCAGCGCTACGGTCACCACCGGCATTGACAACGCAGCAGCAACACTGTTCTCCCAATGCCTAGATGAGGAGATACCGGCTTGGATGCGGCACCTCCTGGGACTAATACAATGCCTGGCTGCGAAGCTGGCCACGGACCGCTCCCGCCCGGTTCCAGAGTAAGCGGTATATGGGTAGGCACACGTGCCATCTACTTGGTGCCTACTGAAGAGGAAAAGTGCAAAACTTTGGGTTGACGGCCAGCTGGGTTTCAGCTGAATCTGGCGAGCGCCCCCGCTCCCTTTGCCGCCTTTGGGCTGCGCTAGCTGCCCATCTAACACTTACAGCATCGACACTTAGCCTCCCAAAGCTAGACGCACAGGCAAAATGCGCCACTCAGCCGCACCGTGGCGCTGTTCACCTACTCATTATTATAGCATAGTCTCGCTGATAAGTAAGCTGGGTCTTTGCTTTGCTGCTCGTCTTCTCTTTTTGTTCGTTTTCCCACTCATCTAGCGACCCAGCAAGTCTAGCACTAGATACACATTCTGTATGCTCTTCGCTGGCAGAAGTCTTTGCTCTTGATAATTCTATTCTGCGTACTCTTAACATGGCTGCCCACCGAGAAGACTCCACCACTAAGCCACCCGGCTTAGCTGACCCCTCGGAAACAAAGGCGCCGAACAACGCAAGTGCCGCAGAGGTTATGAAATCTTTTGAAGGGTTTCTCTCCTTCGTTCTCAGCCTTTCCATCTTTGGTGCTTCAACTTTCGCTGTCATTGTGTCAGAAATTGCAAACCCTAGCGAGCTCGGGGCGAATCCACGCTTTACTCGTGAGACCGTTCGAACCCTGCTTGGTATCTCCTGGTTACTCTTTATCGCTGCGCTTTATTTAGTGGCTGTTTCCATGAGCCTCCTAGCATTTCGGCGAGAGCATGCTAAGCCATCGTCTGATGGCATTGGCAAACATGCATGGGAGCGCCTAGGGCTCGTGGCTTCATCTTTTATCCAGCTCTTGGTAATCGCGGCATTCCTGTTCCTTTCGCTTGTTCTTGTGGCATACACTCCGGCGGTTGGATGGGTTGCGGTTACATTCACTTCGATAGCGGCAGCCTTCGCCTTTGTATCACTCGCAATTCAATGGATGTAAGTGCACCAGTTCTTTCGAGATAGCTAGACTAACAAATGGGTGTAAGCGAGCTTTCTAGGCATAGACCCGGGACGTGTTTGTAGATGAAATTCGATGCAGAAGCTGGTTAGGGCACTTGGAAAGCCTACATACAGGATTTGGATCAAAGAACTCAATACCCTCTTGTAACTGAGAAAGAGTTATTCTGACTCCAGGCTACAATGTAGTTCTTCTCCAAGTATAGTTAGGCTAGAGTAAACACAGGCTAACTTTGAAGCCCTTTGACCAGCGAAGCGTAGATTTTGCTGTATACGGTGCATTTAATTGTGCAGGTATATATAGGTACGATAGAGAAAGTATATACAAGTAATGAATGTCAGATGCGGTACGTTAGCCTATCTGATCTCACATGCCGTCATTAATCATAGCCTGAACCATCCTTACATGTCTATCCGCGTTCGTCTCGCTCCATTCGTTATCGTAGTTCAACCCATACGGCCAAAAATGGCTACCACCACAGTTGATCTTTGCATTCGCCCCGTCAAAGCTCCGAAGCAATGGTAGCGCTGTTCTCCAATCACCCGATGCACATTTGCTGTCGAATGCTGCTGTTTGCCCCACGCCCAATGTGTGCGAGATTTCATGCATGGCTGTGCGTTCTGTCATGTATGCACGGTTCGAGCCGAAGCGCAGGTCGCCGTTGTAGTTTGCTTCGGCAGTTGGAACGCCTGGTGCGTAGGCGACGCGGATCGTCTTGTTGGCAGTTGCGAATTTGTGGTAGCGGGCAACGGCTTTGGTCATTGCCGCTTCGATTCTGGCGTAGGCGTCTGCTTGATCCGCGGTGGGGTTGGATACTTTTGCCAGCGACCAATTAAGACGCGCAGAGGCGTTGCAGGCGTACGCTGCAACGAGGAAGAGAGACAACTTCATGGTGTGGAGATGCAACTGCTTGATTCCAGAGACAAAAAAGGCTGGAGCAATAAGACACGGCAATGCTGTGGACCTGTCACAAATATATGGTATCGTGTACTGACAATTACCCTAGCCACTTTGACCTACTATGTACATGGTCATTTGGACCTTCCTCATACTCATGGGTGTGGCTAAAACGGCCGTGCAGCCTTATTAGGGAGGTGCGAGATATGAGGTGGGTCTCTGATATTTTCCGATTCACTTGGCGGGTGTTATGTTTGTCTATCCACCTAACAGAGTCACGCATTCAGATATGCATATCATTTTCCCATAGCGATTGGCATTGTTCAATCAAAATTGGCTTGGTGTTGCGGTGTGCAGGGTCTGAAACGGTCAAGCGTCGGAGTATTGATTGCATTCAGGGATTCCTTCCCCGCTTTGAAAGATTACCATCTTGGCATCTTTTCGAAGCCTATGCTGTGTTTATGCTTCTGGAACATTTGTAAGCAGCAACCGTTACCAAAATGTTTTTAACAAATCTTTTCAATATATCACACTGGATGTAATGATCAGCTGTATAGCCGTCAACAAGGCATTCACTTTTGATCTTTGTCCGGTCGTGTATTTATGCGCCCAGATATATACATACGTACTCAAAAGAACCCCGGTAAACTTCATTGCCAGCTCAAGGCAAGCCCGCTAAACTGCTTCAATGCTAGTAAGCACATCCGAGCCAAACTAAACGAGCAAATGCTAACCGTGTATGTGTCAAGCATTACTCTAGCACCATCCTTGGTAGCCTTTCCGACCTCTTTCGTAGTGGTAGATACTTGCACATACATTTACTATTGCTGAAATACTATTATAAGCCAAACTGGCGTTTGATATTAGAAAAATCGTGCTGTATAGATATGCGTCGTATGTAGGTGTGGGTGCAGCATACAAATACATGTAGCGAACATCATGCTCTTGCTCAATCTCCTTGGTCTACAAATTTTGAGATGCAAATGATACGGCGCAAGCAATAGGTTCTGCGCTGGAGCCAACTCCATATGCGATTTTCTCGGCAGCGAATCAACAAAACATGAAATGTTCTAGGGGTCTCAACTTTAAGCAAATCCCATTCTAAAACAGTTATGTACTAACCCAAATGAAAGCAGACAAGATCTCGGGTCCTTACAGACCTTGGAACACGTTAGGGCCCAAGAAGGCATTATTCTCCAGCAACTCAAATTTCCCGCATGCACACGACAAATTCCCAAATCTTAGCATTTTTGCCGTGGAAAGTCCTTGACCCAGATTTGTACCATGAACTGTGCTGGGCTTTTGTACTGATGAAGGCAAAACATCAATGCGGAAATTATTTGACAACTCCATTCGTTTATGTACGGCTTACAACTCCATTCACAATTGTAGAGACAAGTTTAGGCATAAATATCTTGCAAATGATCGTGTTCCATCAATTATCAGTCTGGAAGCAACTGTGATCTCTGGTGATATTCAAGGATCGACCTTGTTTAATATCACTCGAGGTGAACTTGATTGCATGGCCTGCAACAATGGCAACAGTAGTAGAGGTTGCCGAGTCAGCACCTTCAGAAACAGTTCCATATTCAAATAGTGCGATGCTATCTCCAACTTCAAACAGGCTCCAAATTACGAGAATAACCATATGGTTTCCAAACCATCGCATTCACTTTGGCATAGATCTTGCATTAGAACGCGGGCTATCGAACCAGTACGTCACAACATCACCAAGACCAGAATTGTTTCTATGGGAAATGAATATTTCGTAAGGTAATGACTGTTTTTAGAGAACATTTAAAGACAGTAGCTCTATATCATCGCGATTCCACCAAAACTTGAACGCAGTTGCAACCCCAGCCTGTTCAGTCTTTCATGTTGGCTCAAGCTCAGATCGTATTTGAGAGTTCTCGAAGATCTGGAGTGTTTTTGATCTAAAGATTGGTAAGAACGGTCTCTAAGTTGATGTGGCGATACACTTACGTGTGTGAAGCCTTATCCAGATCGAGATCCGAAAGCCCTTGCGTTGTAGCCCAAAGTGATGCACTTGCCCACTTGGAAGGCGTTTTCTCGTCCATCTGCCCACCAGATCCTGCGAGCAGAGCCAGCACAGTTTCCGATGTCGTAGAAGTCTGCTTTCTGGAGGTTGCCGCTAAGGTTCAGGATACGGAAAGATTGAGTGGCGGGAATGTTCTGATCACGGCAAGTGTTGTCCCACACATTGACATCTTTCGCATCGCCTGTGCAGTCCCTGCCAGAGAAGGCGGTGAACTTGTAACCAAGAGTCCCGGAAGAGAGACCAAGGAAAGCGACCAAGGTAGAGGTGAAGTGCATGATTGTTGTTGGTGTTTCAAGGTTAGCTTGATGCTACGGACAATATTGTAAGGATTTCAAAGAAGATGTGGTGATGATGAGATGAATATGAATTTGGTACTGTCTTCTAGAAGAAGACATAGCTGATATATATACTTGAGGATTCAAAGGCGACAGAGGGCCCTATTCACAGAGTTACGTAACTCCAAATGACATTCCCGATCTATCATTGATGGTTTGATCATATGAGCGCCGTCTTCCGCACTCGGGTTTTCTTAGCAATCATGAAGATGATGATTTTTACCCCAAAAAGTTTGAATATGTTGATTGTTATCCCAAAAGGGTGTATACACAAGCTTGACTAGTCTCTAGTGGCGACTAGTGATGACTGTGTAGAAGATAAAACCTGAGTCATGTGCCAAGATGTGCTACATACCCGAGCTGAACTATTCTGCCTCTAGATTGTTGGTTTCATGCCAGTCGAGCTCACCCGTTGGTGATTAATGTGTACTGGCTTATTTTAGCAAATCCTTCAATGAATAAATGGCTTGGAAGGACAGTCGAGGTCTTTGTGAATGAGTCTTTTGTCTTTAGGCGAACATGATAGTCGAGGTGCGAACATAATAATTGACTTCCATCTTTCCCGTATTTCTCTCATCGAGGAATGGTTTCGTTTATGATGCACGCAATTTTCTAGTATGTTGACTTACGAGATTATTCGGTCAAACACGACGAGTCGCCCTGCAAGCCACCTACTCGGTTACCCCTTCTTCCGTACTACTGCTATAACGTGGGCTGAAAATTGGTGGATACCGCCATAAGTAAACTGGGGCCGCAAAGCCTCATGTTGGCCATGTGTTGGTTGAACGAACATCATCAATCTTTTCCCTTAAGTAGCTCGAAATCCTTGCGTAGGTATATACTCCAATCAGCACACAGATCTGGGGAAAGATCTAGTCTAGCTATTGACTATTCCATAATGACTTAGTTGTAATCAGCGCTATGTAGAGGTGGGGGCGGCTCAGATGTTCATTATGCAGATATGTGTGGAACAACCTTGACCATCGGGTAAGAGCGCCGAGCTTGCTGAGCAGATTCGCGTATAGTAGCGGGTGCGTGCGTCACCACGGGCATGACTTTACAGCGCTTATTGGCTGCCCTAATAGTAACAATCCAGGCACCCACCTCATGTCCACATTCGGCGATGTAAGGCAACCCGCAATGGGCATATGGCGTAGCAAACCTTGGCTTAGGGCCTGAAAATTATGAGGCATGAATCAAATTCCGATTTGTGCCGTGATAGGATTAGTATTAGGTATGAGGCTTTATGTGTCTCTACTTTTGCTATTAAAGTGCGGGAAAACTGGCCTCTGCGCGATGCTAATAGTATCGGCCCTACCGACTCAACTAGTGTCTAGTATTGTTGTTATCATTGTTAATTAACGTCCTATGTTAGCTCGAAGGCTATATAAGACGTGCAAGCTAATAAGGCTTATAGGTATCTACGGAGTGTTATGGGGTAGGTTATATACCTACCCTATTATAGCCTAGTTGAAGGACGGATACTATAAGTAGACACCAAGCCTCCGATACTTTACATAGAC